TATATACATATATACATATATGTGAGTGAGTGTATGAGTGTAAGATACTATTTTTGGATTTGGGGACAGGGTTTTTCTGATACAAATGGAGATTTTCTCTTAGCACTTCCATCATGGGTTGGTCTGTATACTTACCATGTCTACTGCAATCACCGTCACCACCACCAAAAAGGGATGACTTTAGCAAATTGAAAAGTTCTAAGGATATTGGTAGGTCCTTTGATTAAACCGTGAGATCAAAGAAGTTAATATGAGCTACCAGATGTGTTATTCTCTTTATCTTTCAGGAGTGCATCAGTACCTTGACATTAAACAACTATGAAAAGTATGTGGGAGGGCAGTGCCTTACTTTTTTATACCCTATTGGGAGGGTATGAAGTAAACTAGTGAATAAATCAGTTACTCAGTTATGAGATTTTTAGAACCCTATATTCAATCATCAGTCAGAAAAATCCCAAGACCATTCTGTGTCAGTGTGTGTGTGTGTGTGTGTGTGTGTGTGTGTGTGTGTGTATGTGTATGTGTGTATCTCACTGGGAATCAAACCCATGATGCCTTCACACATGCTAGGGAAGCACGTTAACCACTAAGCTATATCTCTAGCCTCTGTTGTTTGCCTTTTATACCATCTACAATTTTCCTATGTAGTTATAGAACTGGAGGTACAGAAGAGTTTGGGGCTCAGGTCGGAGAACCATACTGAAGGAATTTGGTTTAGGGACTTGTTGAAAAAAGTTGAGAATTGGTGTTGAGGCTTTGGAGAAATTCCCAGGCTAGAAATACAGATTTGGAGCCAGGCGTGGTGGAGCACATTTGTAATCCCTGCACTCTGGAGTCTGAGGCAAGAGAATGGCAAGTTTGAGCCCAGCATGGGCAATTTAGTGATTTAGCAAGACCTGTTTCAAAGTGAAGAGGGGAGGGTGTTAGAGATGAGAGGAGATTGTGGGGAAGAACTCGGAAGCCCAAAAGGGAAAATTAGCCCTAGAAATGACACAAAACATTTCTTTACTTCCAAAACAGTACAGGAGGTAGAAAATTTGGATAATGATCTCAAGACAAGTGAGGTACGAGGGAGAAGAATAGAAAATTTATGTTGAAACCTTGAAGGTTTGCCTATTGGACTCTAGAGGAGGTGAGGGTGGTTACATGGGGATTCTGATAGGAAGTCAGAGATGAATAAAAGTTATGATTGGACCAGCCCTCTAAGAATGAATGTATAGCATGGACTTGGAATGACTTTCATCAGCTTGACAGTTATAACTTTATTTAGAAGTGCTCATTGGCACTATTCTCATCCCAAGAGGCAGTTTGTTAGGTCCAGTTGTAGTAGGAAGGAGCTACAGAGAAATATGTACATCATGTTCTAGTTTTTCTTAATTTTAACATTAAAGTGGCTACTTATCAAAATACTATGAAAGTCCTTAGGCTGTGTATTCTTGCTGAAAAGCCTTGCAAGGAAATGTTTGCTTTACCTTTTAAATTAAAATTTAGGCAACAAGCCTAGTTACTGAATTAAATACCATTTCAGTTGGGGTTCTTGTGACTGTTTTTCTTTTAAGGTTTTGGAAAATTTCCTTTAAGAGTAATATTACAATTACAGCTAGAATTTTAGTGTTGAGATGTTTCTCTTACTGGAATAAGATGGAAGGACTTGTAAATTTGTTTTGTAAAAATTTTTTTATTAGTACACGATTGTGGTACATAATGTTTACATTGGTTGTGGGGAATTGGTACATGAACATAACACATCTTAATGCTTCAGTGCTGAGCATATGCAGGATGGATATTCATTGACAGTTTGAAACTGCTGGGACAGTCTAAAAGAATTACCCTTAAATTTTTCACTATAGAAAATAGAAGGTGTTAAAAAAAAACTATGCAGACCATGTATGATTCATTTTCCTAGAGGTAACAACTGTCAATATTTTGATGTTTCTTTAATGTTCTGTGTAGAGATACAGGTTGAATATCCCTTATCTGAAATGTTTGAAACTAGAGATGTTTCATAATGATTTTTTTTGAATTTTGGAATGTTTGCATCTACGTAATAAGACGTGTAGATACAAAATTCATTTATATTTTATATATACCTTATGTACATAGCCTGAAGGTAATTTTATATATTACTTTTAGAGTGCCTGTATTTGACTGCAGTCCATCACATGAGATCAGAGTGGAATTTTCCACTTGTGTCAGGTTGCCCTTCTTGATTTTGGAACAGAATTTTGGATTTTCAGATTAGGGATAGTCAACCTGTATAATTTTTAAAAATCAAGGTATTTGTGATCTGCTTCTTTTCCCTTAACATTATTGAATGCTTTCCAATAGTCTGAAAACATGATTTTAATGATAATAAAATACTATTATTGAGATATATCATTTAATTATTCCCCATGTTTGGCAGTCATTTATTTTCCCTTTTTTGCTATTTATAAATAATATTGTTTGGACATGTTTGTTCCTACATCTTTATTTCCAAATATGTATTCAGGGAAAGGAATAGATTTCTTAGAAATTTCTGAGTTCAAGGGAATGAACATTTTTGAAGCTCTCGGTATACATATACTAACAAATTGCTTTTCAGAAGGATTATGTCTACTTACACTCCCACTAGAAATGAATAAAAGTATTTCCTACTTTGTTTTATTCATACTACCTTAAAAAATTTATATTTTCAAATTAGAAGATACAAAACTTTTAAAAATCTTTTCATAAAAAGTATTGTTTTTCTATTTTGTAAATGATTTGTTTCAACTATGAGCCTAGTTTATTTGCCATTAATAATAAAAGAGAAAACCTAGAAGCTTCTGAAAATATCTAAAACTTTCTTATATAGTCATGAATCTGAAAAACTGAGAACATACTAATTTTACCCTAATGTAAAGGCATCAAACCAAGCAAATTCTTGACTCTTGTCAGTGATCTGGTAGTGGTTAGATTATTAAATGTGACATAGTTTGATAAAAAGGAATGTCATTGTTTCTCATGGAGGGAATACATTTCCAATGAACATTTGCATGCTGAAAAGAAATTCTAATTAAAAACAAGTATCTAACAGCTTCTTAAACTCTCCTTGGGACATAGAAAATACTGATTAAATATTTGCTGAATGAGTGAATGAATAAAGAGGGGAAAGTCAAGTGAAATTTGAATACTCAAGAGAAAAAGTTTGTTCTGTATATTGTGTAGTGGTTTACTGTGTTTGGGACAGAACTTATAGTTGGTATTTAGAGCTTTTATCGTAAGACCTGAGCAGTTTGACTTATTCCACTAGATTTATTCATTTTTTTGAAAATGAGGATACTGCCCCCCTTACAAACATGTGATGAAACTAAGTAATACTAAAAGTATGCTGGAATTCTTAGATGAATTCTAGATTTATAAAAATATATTGATACCTGCTTTTTATTTACTGAACTATAAAATAGTTTAATGTGTGTGGTTTAGTGCTTTAAAATGCTGTCTCTTCAACTCAAAGGAAAAGATACCACAAAATTTTTCAAGTTGCCAATATGTTGTAAGTTGTTAAATTCTCAATGTAAGATTACGACAAAAAGTAAAGGAAGAAGTTTTAAAAACTACATAATTCAAGAAAACCTGGATTTAATGAAGGATGAGGGACAGCAGGATGTCATTATTTCAGAAGCTTGTAAATTGCATGTCCTGCAGACATGTACTAATAAAAAAGTGAAAACAGAAACTTAAAAAAAAAGATATGAAATCATTACCTTAAGGATTAATTCCCTATGCTACAGGCAGAGGAATGAAAATTTTATCATTAATAGTATAAAACTAGTGGAAACTTACAAAAGAAAATAGATTGATAGATTTCAAGATTGAAAATAAAACCCCCAAATCTCCAGTAACAAATACTACAAAATGTTAATATACTTAATGTATGAACTCATAAAAAATAAAACATTAACACATAGAAAAACAATATAAAAAATATAGCCAATTTGTATATTAAAATTTGATCTTGCTAATCACAAAAATAAAAATTTATATAAAACATTTCTGTTCTAGGAAATAGGTAAAATTTTTTACAATAAAAATTTCAGTGCTATTAAGGTTGTGGTGAGATGAGCTTTGTTTTTGTTTTGTGGTGCTGAGAATTAAACCCAGGGCTTTGTACTTGCTAGGCAGATATTGTAACACCTAGCTTTACACACAGCCTGAGATGAACATTTTTAAAAATTTTGGAAAGTATTTGACTGACCCGTGCAAGTGGTACACACTTGTAACCCTGACACTTAAGAGGCTGAGGCAAGAGGATGGGAAGTTTGAGCCCAGCCTGGCAATTTAGTGACACCTTGTCTCAAAAGAAAAAAAATAGGAGCCAAAGATGTAGCTCTGCAGTGCCATGTCTGCCTGGCAAATTCAAGGTGCCGAGTTCAATCCCCGGGAGGGCGCAGCGGTGCTGGGGGTACAGCTCATTGTGAAGGTTTGAAGGTCAATCCCCAGTATTACACACACAAAAAATGACATAAAATAAAAATAAACAAGAAGTATCTGACTAAATGAATGAAGACCCTTGGAAGTTTTCATATTTTTGACTCAGTACTTAATAGTCTATCCTTAAAGAATTTATATTTGGATAAATAATTATAAACAAAAAGATCATCTCAGTATTATATGTAATAAAGAATGGAAACAGCTTACCTATCTGTCATTGTGGGGAAAGTTGAATATATTGTGATTAAAATGTTTTCCAAGTAATATACAGGTTGAGAATCCCAAATGCAGAAGTCCAAAATCTGAAACTTTTTGAATGCCAACTTGACACCACAAGTGCAGAATTCCATTTTGACCTTATTTTTTGGGTTGCAGTCAGAATTCATGTGCATTAAAAATATTATATAAAATTATCTTCAGGTTTTGTGTATTAGGTACATATGAAACATACATGAATTTCAATTTGGACTTGGGTCTCATCCTAAAGATATCTCATTAAGTATTTGCAAATATTCCAAAATCCAAAAAATCTTACTTTTGAGATACTTTTAATCCCAAGCATTCCAGATGAGGGATACTCAACTGTACCTAAGAAAATGTTCATTATATGATGTTAAATGAAAAACAGGGCACTAAAATAGATATATACAGAATGATTGCCTATTCTATAAAAAATATATATGCTCATGGAAAAAAATAGACCAAAATATTATGCTATTAGTTATTGCTGAATAATAGAATTATTGGTCATTTTAATCTTCACACCTTTCTTATTCCATCATTTCTTCAGTGAATGTGTATAATAGTTATAAAAGTTATTTAAATATATAAACTACTTCTTGAACTTGTACTTGTGTACTTTGATGGTGCTTTTTTCTCTTTCCTGAAACGGCTTTCATCCTTTTAATGTAATAATAGCTGCCATACATTGAGTACTTTTTATATGTGCTAAGCTCTCTGTATGTATATAATCTTTGCAATAACTCCATTTTAAAGAGGGGAGCATAGGCTTGAAGAGGTCAGGATTTGCTTAAGATCAAATAACTAGCAAGTGACAGCAAGAATTTGAACTCGGTATGGCACCAGAACTTACTCAACCACTATACTATATATTTTGTTTATGTATGAAAGTTCTACTCTATTCCTAATTTAAATATATCTTTCTTTTAAAACTATAAAAAGTTTGAAACTGCTTTGGGAGTGAAAAGGGTAGTGTAATGAACCCTGTGTACCCATCACCCAGCTTCAGTTGTTCACGTATGTCATCATGCTTTATACCCCTAACCCATTCCCCAAGCCCTTCCTTATTATTTTGAGGCAAATCCCAGACATTGCATTTTATTCATTAATATTTTAATATATTACTAAAAAATAATGGTAATGGCTTTTTTTTTTGGTACCGGGGATCGAACTTGGGACCTTGCACTTGCAAGGCAGGCACCGGAACCACTGAGCTAAATCCCCAGCCCCAGCTTTTTAAAAATAATCACATTATCATTACACTTAAAATACGTTTCTCATAAATGTTGTAAATGTGTCCTATTAATATCTTCAAATTGTGTGAATTTTGTAGTTCATGTTATGATGTCTTTTGTGTTGTGTTTTTGAAGGTGGAACCTAACTTCTTGTGGAACAAGTGTTGCCAGCTCAGAATGCAGTGAGGAACTGTTTTCATCAGTTTCTGTTGGAGATCAAGATGATTGCTATTCTCTGTTAGACGATCAAGAATTCACTTCTTTTGATTTGTTCCCTGAGGGCAGTGTCTGCAGTGATGTCTCTTCTTCTATCAGCACTTACTGGGATTGGTCAGATAGTGAGTTCGAATGGCAGGTAGGTTTTTTCTTTTATTGACATCATTACTATATAAGTTGAAGTATGAATTTCTCCTTTGATATTTCATTTCTACTTCAAAGTTTCTCTTGTATCTCCAGACTTGGAGATTCTTTGACAATATGTTTTAATGTTAATAATTAGATGAAATGTGTATTAGCAGACTAGTGTACCTTTTAGGGTTCTGGTGCTACAGATATCCTTTTATAGGTTTTCTTCTACAAAATAATCAGTACTTTTATATGCATGTGTCTAAACATACTTATTCTCCCTACTTTGTAATAAATACCCTTCATGTCTTTAATAGGCCATATATCTGCATCATGTTACGTATATAATACCATAAATCACTATTACCATGAATATGTAATTTTTGGATTTGTTATCAGAATTGCAATATAGTATCTTATTTTGTATTCTCTTTGTATGTAGAGATATTTTTGCCTGATATTATTTTTCTTCTCGTGGCATATATACCTTATAAAATGGCTTTGTGGCAAATTGTTTGAAAATGCTGCATTATGAGTGTTATCAGAAAATGTAAATCATGTTATTGCAACATCCATTTTCTGGTTGTAAAAGACAGTAATATTTGCAGAAGTTTTCCATGTATATAGCAAATGTTTTATTCAAACAGCTAAACTTGAGTACCTCTACTGTGTTTTAAAACCATCAAAATACTTGAAGTTGTACTAAAAAAGAATCAAATATTAGTTTCATTTTTATTAAAGTACCAATACCGAATAGCATGAAATTGAAATTGAAGTCTTCAAAATCACTCTCCTGTGATTATCACTGTTAAGAGTTTATACAGATACAAGCATGTTTGCATATATAAATAGGATTATACTTCATCCACTGTTTGGTCTTGTGCTTTTCTTTCAACTAATACATCTCAGTTTTTATAGTTGCATCATAATTTATTTAATTAGTTTTCCAATAATTGGGTTTTATGTTGGCTTGTTTTTTGTTATAAACAATGAGTAGTCTTTAAAAAGAAAAATATTCACAGTCTCCTTACGTTGTGTCCTATTTCAACTTCTATGTTATATATATTTATAAATATGATTTGGATAAAATTTTATAATTTTTGAGGTAAAATTTACCATTTTAATCATAAAATTTATAAATCAGAGATTATTAAAATAGTAATATTGTTGTATAAACTTCATCACTAATTCTAGGATATTTATCTCACTTCCAAAAGAACCCCAAACTTGTAAACACGTAGTCACTTTTCCCTTTTGCCCTTATCACCTGGAAACAACTGGTCTGGCTTCTCTGACTTTGTATGTTTTTAAGATTTATCCACGTTGAAGCATGTAATAGTCCTTCATTCCTTTCTGTGGCAGACTTGTATTCCACTATGTGAATAATTCTACACTTTATCTACTCATGAGCTGATGGACATTTATGTAATTTTTACTTTTTTTACAGGAAGTATTTATTGAAAGATAGGTAACTTCTATCTAAGACAGAAGGGGGCTCAGAAAGTGAGTTGCTCTTTTTTTTGGAAAGTATTTATTGAGAGAAATTTAACTTCTAAGAGAGACTATTTTCAACAGTTTTGCTTTGGATATTCAGATATGACTTTTCATGTGGATGCATATTTTTAATTCTCTTGGACATTTCCCAGGACTGGAATCCTAGGTCATACGATAGCGTTTATGTTTTAATTTTTTTTTTGGGGGGGGTACCAGGGATCGAACTCGGGTTCTTGCGCTTGTGCAGCAGGCAGCGAAACCACTGAGCTAAATCCCCGGCCCCTATGTTTTAATTTTTTGAAGAACTGCCAGTGTATTTTCCAGTGTGGCTACACCATTTCATATGTTTTTATCAGGAGTGTATAAAAGTTTATTTCTCTATATCCTTGCCTACACTTTATGATTATAGCTATGCTACTGGGTGTGAAGTAGTATCTCTGTCACTGTAATTATAGATTGCAATTCTCTTATGACTAATGGTATTGAATATCTTTTCATGTCCTTATTGGAAATTTGCATATCTTAATTGAGTAAGCAACTATTTAAATCCCTTGCCCACTTTGTACTTGTGTTCTTTTTAATTGTAAGCAATCTTTCTATATTCTGTCTGCAAAGCCCTTTACAGATACATGATTGACAAAAACCATTTTCCCATCCCTTGGATTATCTTTTCACTTGAAAGTCTTTTAATATGCAAATATTTTTCATTTTGAGAAGTCCAATTTATCTTTTTCTTTGTTGTGTTTATGATGTCATAATTTAAAAAGCATTGCCTAATGCAAGATCATGAAGATTTTCACCTGTTTCCTTCTTAAGAGTTTTTAGTTTTTATATTTAGGTCTTTGGTGCATTTTGAGTTACTTTTCATTTACGATGTGAGATGGAAGTCCAAATTTGTTCCTTTGCATGTAGATTTCCAGTTATTGAAGCAGCATTTATTGAAAGACTGTTTTTCCTCATTGAAGAGTCTTGGCACCTTATTGAGTATGGTTTTATTTTTGAACTTTCAGTTCTATCCCTTAATATGTGTGTTCTTTCTTATGCCAGTATAACACTTTTAATTATAGTTTTACAATAAATTGTGAAATTGGAAAGTATGAATTCTTCCACTTTGTTTTTCTTTATAAAGATTTTTTGGCTTTTTTTGCGGGGGGGTCTCTTGCAATTCCATATGAATTTTAGATCAGATTGTACATTTCTGCAAAAAAGGCAGTTGGAATCTTGATAGGAATTGCATTGAATCTGTGGATTGCTTTGGGGAATATGCCATTTTAACATTATTGAAAACTCCAAAGGAAAAAAACAATATTGAATACTCTAGTCCATGCATATGAGATGGAAAGGCTTTATTTATATATCTTTAATTTACTTCCATGATATTTTGCATTTTTCATTGTCAAAGGCTTCTACATTTCTTGGTTAAATTTATTCTTGAATATTTATTTTTTATAATGCTCTAGTAAATGGCATTATTTTTAAATTTCATTTTTAGATTGTTTATTGCTGGTACATATATAGAGATACAGTTGATTTTTTTAATTGATTTTGTATCCTTATCTTTGCTGGACTTTATTACCTTTTAATAGTTCTTCCCCTGGGTAGTTTCTTTAGGGTTTTCTATATTTAAGATCAGGTCATCTGTGAAGAAAGCTAATTTTTCTTCTTTTTTTACCAATGTGGATGCCTTTCATTTTTTATTAATTACCCTGGCAAGATCATAGAAATGGTGAAAATGGGTAGATTTGTATCTTTCTCCTAGTCTTAGGGGAGAATTTTCAGTCTTACACCATTGAGTATGTTAACAGTAGATATTTCAATAACTGCCCTATATGGTACAGAGGAACTTTCCTTCTATTCCTAGTTTGTTCAATGTTTTATTATCAGGAAAGGGTATAGTGTTTTGTCATGTACTTTTCCTGCATCTATTGAGGTAATATACTGTGGGTGGCTTCTTTCTTCATTCTATCAATAGAACTGAATAAATTTCTATCTACTACTAGAAGTAGGAGTGTTGTAGTGATTATTTTCATATATTTAACCACCCTTATATTCCTGGAATGAATAAGTCCTAACTGGTCATGGTATTTAATTCTTTTATTGTGCTTCTGTTTTACAGCATTTTGCTAAGGAATTTTGCATCTATATTTATAAGTGATATTGGTCTCTGATTTTCTTGTGTCTTTGTCTGGCTTTGGTATTAGGGTAATAACATCCTCATAGAGTTAGGAAGTGTTCCTTTTGTAGATAACATTTTGTAATAAAAATTTATTATCTGCATAATATATTTTAATGATTGCATAATATTCCTGCTGTTGGACGTGCCAGAACTTGTGAAAATATTTTCTTATTTACATCCATTTCAAGCTTTATTCTATTCTAGATAACAACAGTGATTATTTTTATGTGGGTACCATTTATTATTTAGTACCTAATTTTTCTGAGTGTGCATGTTTAAATCAGACTACAGGAATTCTTTTTTTTTCCCCCATTACGTTTATTGATACATTTTAGGTATAAAATACAGTTACATTCACCATTAGGATCTTGTGCCTTTACATGATGTGTTTTGGTTCTTATTTTTTCCCCTTCCCCTGCCCTCCCTTCACCCCCTCCACCCTTCCCTATTTGCAAAGACTTTGTTTCTATTCTTCTTTTCTCATATATTTTTCTTTTCCCTTCTTTCCTTTCCTCTACCCCTCCCACTTCCCCTACACCTTTCGACCTTTTCTTCCTATTACACAATTATCAATTATACATTTTTAAAATTACAGTATCAAGATCTAGAAGACATTACCACAGATTTTACAGAATTTAAAAGGATATAGAAAGCATATTACAAAAATCTTTTTTAAATAAATT